CCCATTAGCGACCCCACTGAAGTCCATCTTTCTCCTGCGCCGGCCTCTCGTAAACCCACCACACGACAGGCAGCCTCCAGGCACCCCAAGCCCACCGCAAATGGCGAGGGTCATCGGGGGTCCCTGGGGAAACAGAGGAACAAGGGGCAAAATCACTGACGGCCCCAAAGAGCCTCCGCCTGAAACGTTCCGTCCCACGCACACGGCTGAGAGCGCACCACACCCCGTGTGAAATTTCATACACTGCTTTTCTCCTACTTTCGTATGGAAAGCATTTTCTCACAATATTAAGCTCTCTGAAAACAGAAAGTTTTTGGTGACTGATAAAATTCAGTCCTACAAAGAGTCTGGTTTCCCTAACTTCCCCCGCTGTGGAGCGTTTGGGGCATTTCCAACCGTTCCCACTCGCACGTGATGCTCTAATCCCCCATCAGGACCTCTTGATGCCGGAGCCGATTGCCGTCAGGTGGTGCCTCGCCAACAGGCACCCGCAGAGACGGGGCCAGCGTGAGCCCCGCCCCCTCCCCGGCAGGGGCGTTCACCTTCCAGGTGCCTCCTCTGGTGGTCCAGCATGACGTCCTTGCGGTAGAACATTTTGTTGCAGACTTCACAGGCAAACTTCTTGTCCCCATGCTTCTTCTTGTGCTTGGAAAGGTTGCTGTTGGTGGAGAAGAATCTGAAACACATCTCACACTGGAACGTCTTATCATCTGTCGAGGAAGCAGGGAAACACACAGCAACGTTTAGCCACATGACACCGACTAACGGGCTCAACATCATGGCCGAGGGACCGGCGACGAGGCGCAGGAGGAGGGCGGGGCCCGGAAACAGCACCACCTGAGCTGCCGCCGAAGCCCCCCTGCCAAGCCAGGCCTGAGCAGCGTGCAGAGCAAACAGGTAGCCCACCTCCTTCCTCCCTGGCGCCACAAGTCTCCCACAGCATCTGGGGATCCGTGGCAAGGACAGCGGCTGGACCACAGCTGTCCTTGGCCCTCCCCCCCTCCGCCAACCTGACCGCGGCGCCCGCCCCTGCTTCCCGCGGCGTCAGATGAGCGGCCTCCTGCCCCGCCCCACCGCTCCTCCGAAGTCCACCCATCACCTGCCCCTCCCCTCCCACGCGCCCTCCACAGGCTCCTCCCCCATCGCACCAAGGCATCCCCAATGTCTCCCACCTGTAGACAAAACCGTCTGGTCCCTAGGTCCCCTTTGGGAGACGTGCACCCACCCCCAGCAAACACCCCCTCCCCACAGTGAAGCCTTCAGAGATACCCACAGCCCGGTGTCCCTCCGCAGTCCCTCCCCAAAGGTGGCCAGAATGCCCCACCAGGGCCTCTGACAGTCCCCACCCTGCCCTCTCCCTCCAGGTGCCCAAGGCAGACCCTGGGGTGTCCTGTCCCCTCCCCCCGGCCTGGGGGGGTCTGCCCCCATGAGCACAGGCACAGGGGCCATCAGGGCACCTCCCCAGCTGTCTGCCTTGGCCCCAGCCACCCGGCCTCCGCCCCGGGTTCAGGGGGTCTCGGGGCCTCGGCTAGCGCTCTCCACTCAGACTTGTCCTCTGCCCTCAACCCCGCCACGCCCACCCTTGCTCCTGCCATGACACGTTAACTGCCCACGGGTCCGTCACCTAAGCCAGCCCCGAAAGGCAGCCCTCACTGCCCACGGCCCTCCTGCAGTGCCGGGAACACCGTCCCGTGTCACCTGAGCGGGTGGGCATGACAGTGTGCGTCCCCCTCCAGAGCGAGGGCCTGAGGTCACACCGCGTCACCCTCATTTCTGGGCCTTTGGCTACAGCCCACTGACCACTTCCCGTAGTCGGTAAACGTTTGCTGAATGTGCAAATCCCGGAGGCTGGAGGCCAAGTTTCGTTTTCTACAGTGACTCTGATTCCCCCATTAGCGACCCCACTGAAGTCCATCTTTCTCCTGCGCCGGCCTCTCGTAAACCCACCACACGACAGGCAGCCTCCAGGCACCCCAAGCCCACCGCAAATGGCGAGGGTCATCGGGGGTCCCTGGGGAAACAGAGGAACAAGGGGCAAAATCACTGACGGCCCCAAAGAGCCTCCGCCTGAAACGTTCCGTCCCACGCACACGGCTGAGAGCGCACCACACCCCGTGTGAAATTTCATACACTGCTTTTCTCCTACTTTCGTATGGAAAGCATTTTCTCACAATATTAAGCTCTCTGAAAACAGAAAGTTTTTGGTGACTGATAAAATTCAGTCCTACAAAGAGTCTGGTTTCCCTAACTTCCCCCGCTGTGGAGCGTTTGGGGCATTTCCAACCGTTCCCACTCGCACGTGATGCTCTAATCCCCCATCAGGACCTCTTGATGCCGGAGCCGATTGCCGTCAGGTGGTGCCTCGCCAACAGGCACCCGCAGAGACGGGGCCAGCGTGAGCCCCGCCCCCTCCCCGGCAGGGGCGTTCACCTTCCAGGTGCCTCCTCTGGTGGTCCAGCATGACGTCCTTGCGGTAGAACATTTTGTTGCAGACTTCACAGGCAAACTTCTTGTCCCCATGCTTCTTCTTGTGCTTGGAAAGGTTGCTGTTGGTGGAGAAGAATCTGAAACACATCTCACACTGGAACGTCTTATCATCTGTCGAGGAAGCAGGGAAACACACAGCAACGTTTAGCCACATGACACCGACTAACGGGCTCAACATCATGGCCGAGGGACCGGCGACGAGGCGCAGGAGGAGGGCGGGGCCCGGAAACAGCACCACCTGAGCTGCCGCCGAAGCCCCCCTGCCAAGCCAGGCCTGAGCAGCGTGCAGAGCAAACAGGTAGCCCACCTCCTTCCTCCCTGGCGCCACAAGTCTCCCACAGCATCTGGGGATCCGTGGCAAGGACAGCGGCTGGACCACAGCTGTCCTTGGCCCTCCCCCCCTCCGCCAACCTGACCGCGGCGCCCGCCCCTGCTTCCCGCGGCGTCAGATGAGCGGCCTCCTGCCCCGCCCCACCGCTCCTCCGAAGTCCACCCATCACCTGCCCCTCCCCTCCCACGCGCCCTCCACAGGCTCCTCCCCCATCGCACCAAGGCATCCCCAATGTCTCCCACCTGTAGACAAAACCGTCTGGTCCCTAGGTCCCCTTTGGGAGACGTGCACCCACCCCCAGCAAACACCCCCTCCCCACAGTGAAGCCTTCAGAGATACCCACAGCCCGGTGTCCCTCCGCAGTCCCTCCCCAAAGGTGGCCAGAATGCCCCACCAGGGCCTCTGACAGTCCCCACCCTGCCCTCTCCCTCCAGGTGCCCAAGGCAGACCCTGGGGTGTCCTGTCCCCTCCCCCCGGCCTGGGGGGGTCTGCCCCCATGAGCACAGGCACAGGGGCCATCAGGGCACCTCCCCAGCTGTCTGCCTTGGCCCCAGCCACCCGGCCTCCGCCCCGGGTTCAGGGGGTCTCGGGGCCTCGGCTAGCGCTCTCCACTCAGACTTGTCCTCTGCCCTCAACCCCGCCACGCCCACCCTTGCTCCTGCCATGACACGTTAACTGCCCACGGGTCCGTCACCTAAGCCAGCCCCGAAAGGCAGCCCTCACTGCCCACGGCCCTCCTGCAGTGCCGGGAACACCGTCCCGTGTCACCTGAGCGGGTGGGCATGACAGTGTGCGTCCCCCTCCAGAGCGAGGGCCTGAGGTCACACCGCGTCACCCTCATTTCTGGGCCTTTGGCTACAGCCCACTGACCACTTCCCGTAGTCGGTAAACGTTTGCTGAATGTGCAAATCCCGGAGGCTGGAGGCCAAGTTTCGTTTTCTACAGTGACTCTGATTGCGGTCCTCACTCTGCTGCACGGCGGACTCCCATGCCCGGGAATCGCAGCCCGGGCGCTGCTGACATTCTGGCCGGATCGCTGCGGGAGGCTGTCCTGTGCCCTGTACGTTGGGCAGCATCCCCCAGGCAGCTGTTCCAACCAAACCGGCTCCAGACTCTGCCCAGCGTCCCCGGGGACTCAGGCCTCAGCAGTTTAACTTCTGCCAGGCGGGCCCCGATGTGCAGCCCAGGTGGAGGCCCCGCGGTATCCACACAATCCCCTGTACACGCGTTTGTGCGTGTGTGGTACCTGTGCTTATCATGCAGACATTTCCATGCTTATTTTAGTGGTTACGTTATACTCTACCCACTTCATACATCTCAAGTTACTTCATCTTTTTTTTGTTGTTTTTCGCGGTACGCGGGCCTCTCGCCCTTGTGGCCTCTCCCGTTGCGGAGCACAGGCTCCGGACGCGCAGGCTCAGCGGCCACGGCTCACTGGGCCCAGCCGCTCCGCGGCACGTGGGATCTTCCCGGACCGGGGCACGAACCCACGTCCCCTGCATCGGCAGGCGGACTCCCAACCACGGCGCCCCCAGGGAAGCCCTGCTTCATCATTTTTGATATCGTAGGTAATGTAATGATGCTTTTCCTACTAGATTTCCTGGCATGGATCCTTAGGAATGAGACCACCAGAGACGAGGGCGTCTGCCATCCTGCTCTGGGAAGGGCCGCGCCTTACAGGGCTGTTCCATCGGGTCACCGGAGACCCCGCCCACTCTGGGCCTGCTAAACCACACAGGTAAGCCTCCCTCCTGGGCAGGTGGCCCACAAGCCCAGGAACCCAACAGCCGTGGAAGGTGCAGCGCGGCCCTTGGACTTTCGCTTCTTCTAACGGGTCGAGTCCCTCCCAACGTATGGAGGGGACCCACCTCTAACCATCCCCAACAGCTCCGGTGCGGCCTTCGCCGGGTGACAGCAGAGCTGGAGCAGCTGTCCGGGCCAGGCTGTCACCACGGTGGCTTTTCCTGCCATGGCGTCCACGTCACCAGTTCAGGAATCCAGGCAGGTGCTCGACGACAACCTTCTCCCCTCCCCCCCGTAATCCCTGCTGCCCTCGAGGTCTACACTCATGTTTTAACAAAATGCAGCAACTGAGAACAAACACCTGTTATGTGGTGGGCGGTCAGGCCTCTCAGCATGGCTGTGCCCCGCTCTCTGTCCGCCCCCCGCCCAGCCAGTGCCCGCCTCCCTCCTGTCTACACGCTCCCCTGTAAGGCTCGCCCCCTGCCGCAGCTGGTGACTGTTCTAATCCTCAGGCCAGAAGGCTCTGCCTTTCTGCTGGTTCATCAAAGGGAGACACCTGCCCTGCTGGCGGTCCTTGACCTGAGGGGCTGGGAGGGGTGTGCCCAGCCGCTGGTTTCCCTGGTAACTGATGTCAGTTTCCCCTACAAACGGCGGCCTCCTTCTCCCCTGAGCGGGGAAGAGCTCTGCCTGATGTGTGCTGTCTGCGCTCCGCACGTGGTGTGGCGCGGTGCGGCTTCAGGACCTTTGTTTCGGACGCGTAAGGTTCCCCCGTCCAATAAACCGCTGATGTCTCTGTTGCTGTCTCTGGGCTCTTTCTTTGGTCTCGAGGTTGGGCAGCTCCAAGGCTTGCAGGCCTGGGGGTGCAGCCCAACGTGTGGGCTCCGGTGAAGGAGGGGGCACAGGGTCACCCGGAGGCGGGACAGGGCATTTCCGGGGAGACCCTGTCTTGCCTGAGGGCCTGGACGTGAGCCTCTGGTCTTCTCTAGCTCCCTCAGGAAGGTCGAGGGCAGACGAGGGCCACCTCACACCCAGCACAGGCCCAGCTGAGTGAAAGCTTGAGTAAAAGCCCCGCAGACCCATCATTTCAAAGCTCACGCAAATCCCTGACTTCACGGTCTACGGAAGACACATTGTCCTAACGTGAACACTGTAAGAAAGTACAGCAGCCTGCAAATAACATATTACACAAATGACCTCGGCCCGCCCGGTTCATCCTTTGTCTTCCATCCAAAACTTCTGACCTTTGAAATTGTGGAGAAACTGCATTTCAATTCACTGCTGCTCTGTTAACTTCCATATAACGAAGACAGACAAACGTCTGGTTTAACAGAACTTTTTGCTGACGTGTAGCAACTGCTGCTTTGGCTTAGTACCTTCTGTTTCATTTGTGTCCAGAGAAATAAAGATAAAAAGAAGAGAACTTCTCTGCCTCAGCCTCCAGCGGGCCTCAGCTCTGTCCCGGGCCGGGACAGGGGCATCACCCTCCGCTCTGATGCCCACCCACTGAGCTCGTGCAGACCCGAGCGTGGCCTCACGGAGCGCCATCCTGCCCAGCGATAAGCACAGCTCGAGGGTCCCCTGACTGATATGGCATCAAAAGATCGGTGGATTTCCCCCAGGTTTTGGGAACACCTGGGCTGCGGAATGCAGGTGGTGTAGCACCTGGAAGTGCACCCAGAAGCTTCCAAGGCCACTTCATGCCGTGACTGACGCTCAGAGCAGCCGAAGCTCAGGTGAGACAAGACTCACCTGCCACTCAGAAAAGCCCCGCCCTGGGAGCGAGGCACTGTGGACGGAGGAAACCAGCCGCAGTTTCCAACAGGAGCCCTCAAAGCGGAACAAGCAAATGAACCAAACGAAGGGACACTGCAGAGGCTGCAGGAGCGGGTGCCGGCCACCGGCAGGGAAGGGCAGCGGCGATTTAGGTGACGGGGTAAGGGTGCCCTGCAATGCGGGCCGGCCCCCCGGCACCCTAACGAGAACCAGCACAGAGATACAGAGTGACCAGTGACACACACAGAGGGCTCAATAGGAAGGGGGGTCGGAAGCAAAGGTTAACCTGGCAGGTCTCTAAGCCGACTGCCACTGGTACCCACCCCCCAGGTGTGCGACGATGCCTAGAAGAGGGGGCCGAAAAGACAACAGCGACCCTCCGCCAACCCCATCCTCCCTGGGTGGGAACGCACCCGCCCGCCTTCCCCCACGGGACACAGGGCAAAGAGCCGCAGGGACAGGACACGGTCCTCCCCTGCCGGCCGGGCTCCTGCGCAGCCGTCCCCTGGCCGTCCACGGGGATTTACACATCGCGTACACTCGCCAGCTGCGCGCTCGGCCAGACACGGGGCCTGAGACCCTCGGCCAGGCCGAGACCCGTCGCGGCCACCAGCTGGCCCAAGCACACCGGCTTCAGCTGCACGCAAGCAGACGAGGGTCCGTGTCACGAGTGGGGACTGGGGACAGCGGCAGGCTCAGCGGAGGCCGGTGTGTGCGAGGGAGCGGCGAGGCCCTCACCTGGACCCGGGCGGGGTCCTCGGAGGGAGGAGGGCGGACGGCCCAGGAAGCTCCTGCCGAGAGCGAGGCGGAAGCCCACCCCTCCAGCCGCGAGCCCACCTCTTCAAGGACTTCTCACCGGGTCCCAGAGCAACCCTACCGCTCACCGTCCTCGGTGACGATGAAACCCCCCTGCTTCACCACGGGCTCAACTGTGGGCCATACGTGGCTGCTTTGGAGGAATAATACGATGTGAAATAAATCCCCTTTTAAAGGGAAAGTTTCGGTCTCTTGAGAGTAAGTAACAGCTGCTTGAAGCACCCCGAACGGAGGAGAAAGTTACAGGTGAGGATACCTGTTAAATCCACCTTCACCCTCTGCCGGAACACCTGGTCCCCACCCCGCCAGGTACCCGCGCCTCAGCGCCGGGCGGGGCCGCTCACCTGTCCGGCAGTTGTGAAACTCCAGCGCGCTCTGGATGCGGAAGGTCTTCTCGCAGGTGCCGCACCGGTACCTGTACTCGCTGTCGACCTGGCGGGAGGGGGGCGGGAAGCGGGGGCAGCTGGGACGCGCCCGCTCAGGGAGCTGCTCCAGCAACGGGCCCTTCCCCCCGCTACCCTCCTGCCCAGCGTAGAGCATGAACCCTGTCTGGCCGTCCCCCTGCCCTGAAAGGGAGCCCCGCGTCCGGGTGAGCTCGCTGCCCACGCGGGCCTCTCGCTCGGCCCGAGCCCTGGCGGCGCCCAGCCAGGCCCGGACCCACCTCGGCCGCTCCGGCTCCCGCTGCCCCCACCCCGTGACTCCTTCATCAACGCCAAGGGTCTGCTTTCCCCCGTCACTAGACAGCAGTGGTCCTTCACCCACCTCGTTCCTGCTGTGCTTGTAAGAGACGTGCTGCTTCAGGCTCTCCTTGCGGCTGAACAGCTTGGTACACTCCTCGCATTTAAACAGCTTGTCGCCTAAGGAACGAGCAGTGACAAGCCGCGCGCGCCACTGCTCCAGTTGCCCTGAGACCACGTGCCCGCCTGGGACACGCCGCCCGGCTCCCGGAGCGGACTGAGCCGCCCTGCACCGACGTGCGCAGGGACTCACCGTGGGAGCGCACGTGCCTGCTCAGGTTGCTGCTGTTCTGGAAGATCTTGCTGCAGATGCTGCACTGGTAGCCCCGCCTGTGCTCCCCCAGCTGCCGGACCAGCTTCCGCCGGATGCCGTGGCGGCTCGAGAGAATCAGGCTCCTCTTGAGGGTGATGCTGCCACTCTGATGGTGCGGGAACCTGCTGGGTTAGACATACCAGCTGGTGAGACCGGTGGGAGACGGGGTGGTCGGAGAAAAAAGTTCAAGGTCACAGTCACCTTGGAGAGAGGCCCTGTCAAATCCTCCTAGCCCGACACGAGAGTGGGGGGCCGTGCTCAGGCGCACCCCTGCAGCTTTGGGGCATCTGGAAGGGACAGACACCCTGAATGTACAGTGGCACCAGTTAGCTTTTCCTGTACCGGCCACTCAGCTCCCTGGGCGTTAACTCCGGCCACCAGGAAGCCTGGAGCTCAGTTTGTGCGCCGACCAGGGTAACCATAACTGTTCTCTTTTTTTCCACTTGCCTCTACCCTGTTTCACATGTTCCCTGAACCTGATTTTTCAAACATCTTCTCCCTATGAAATGTGTTTCTGACGCTAAGTTACCGAAACCCTCTGGGCAATAAGATGGAGTATAAATAAGTAGGTCAGGTTCACCATTTCTGACACTGCTCTGCTCTGTTTTCAGTTTTTCCACAGCTTCCCGAACCCTACAGGACCAGGCGCATTTTGGCCCCGTGGGAAAAGGGCTGGAAAAAAATACTGCCACCAGCTTATTCAGGCACTGCCTGAGAATAATAACTAAAATACAAACATCTTCCTCGTTCATAAAAAGAAGAAACACACAGAGCAAGGTGTTAAATTTACAGAACTGTAAATACAAACTGTCCTATCATAGCAGCATGTGTTCACAGCAGCCAAAAGGCAGAAGCAACACAAGTGTCCTCGGTGGAAGAATGAATAAACGAAATGTGGTCCATCCACACGATGGACTGTTATTCTGCCTTAAAATGCAAGGACATTCCGACACCTGCTACAACACGGGTGAACCTCGAGGGCGTTACGCTAAGTGAAATAAGCCAGTCACAAAAAGACAAACACCATGTGAGAACACTTATATGAGGTCCCTAGAGACACAGGGACCTCCTCTAAGGTCTTCACAGACACAGGAGGCAGAATGGTGGGTGCCAGGGGCTGGGGAGGGGGTGAGAGGGAGTTTCAGTTTGGGGAAGATGAAAAAGTTCCAGAGATGGGTGGAAGGCTGCATTGCAACGTGAATGTATTCAAAACCACCGAATCATACACTTAAAAAGGATTAAGATGGTAAATTTTGTACTATGTGTATTTTACTACAGTAAAAAATAGTTTTTAAAATTTTAAGCTATTTCACAGTGGATGCACTATTAACCCCCTGGGCTCCAGAGTTCCTGCTGCTTCCCAAGCACATACGTTTCCTACAAGAAGTAAACCATCCCCTCTCATCCGGCCTTCCCTCTGGAATGGATTAGCCGCCACGGCGCCTTTGCCTGTGAAGCCGGGCCCACGCCCTGCTCTGGGACATACTTTGGCACTGAGCTCGCGTCGCTGGGGGTGGCGGCCAGCTTCCCCAGAACCAGCTCCATGATCCGTTCGTCCGGCGACGCAGCCACAGGCTCGACCTCGCTCATGATCTCTGCCACTTGCTCTGTGTGGAGGGGACAGGACAAGCCGTGTCATCACCAGGGCCGGGGATGGAACGTAACCGAACCAAGATGACAGGCCCGAGGGGCCACAGCCAGGCCAACGTTGCAGACGCAGATCACAAGATTGACACAGAGGAAAAAAAAAAAAAAAACAAAAAAACTAGCGATAGTTTAGAATCCACACATTTACCTGCAGATTTAGAAAAGCAAAATATTATTCTTAACTCAAAACTGGAGTTATAATCTGTGGTTAAGTCATGACACCATCTCAATCCCTTTCGTACCACCTAAGACCGAAACACTCTGACGTACAGCGGGACCTTAGAACCTAGCTAAATCTGTCCTGACAGAGATTTGGAAATATTAATTTTTGTAATCACACAAGCCATCTTGAGTACGTTCAAAAGCAGATCAATCATTTTGTACAAGAGTCAAATATCAAATAACCACAGTGATAGGGACCCAGGCCTGAACCTCTGGACAAGTGAAATATGGGAAGGTTACATGAAAAGATTTAGCCACCTCACCTACTATGACGTCTTCCTAATGCAACTTAGAATTAGTGAAATAATCATTTAATAAACGTTTCACCTCCTTCTCCTCTACTTGTTTACAGAGAAGAAGGGAAACTGTCCAGGGGAAAGTTTAAACCACTTCTCCCGAGAACATTATGTGAGGGCTGCTCCTCTGAATTCTCTTTAATTCCAAGAAAGGATACAAATTTCTTCTCATTCTCGCAAAAGAAATCCTGGGCTACAGCAGAGAGCGAAAAGAAAAACTGCCCAGCGATCAGTAAGGAAGGTAGTGAGGGGACTCACTAGTGTCTGAGCATCACGTCTGGTCCTTACGTGCGAGACCCACCAGGAATCCTCTGGCACCGGGCACTTCTGGCAGAGGCCACGTGAGGGCCGAGGGGACATGGCATTTTGGGAATCCCACACCCGAGAATGAGGGCCCAAGGTCCCTCCAAGCTCAACTGAGGCTACTGTACAGTCAGAGAACGGCTTTAGCCACGGCCTGGAAGCCAGCTGCACGACCGTCCACAGGGGACGCGGGAGCAGACGGTGGGGCATCCACATGATGGACCAACACGGCTCGGCAGCAAAGAAGAAGAGGCAGCGGGGACCCGACTGTGGACGAGCCTCCCCTACACGCCGTGCGGGAGATGCCGGGCACAGAGAGAGTGCCCAGGACGGGAGCGCCAGTCCACGCGGAGACGAGCCGGGAAGCGGCTGGGGGGAACGGACATGCTCTCTGTCCAGATATCCGGCTACACAGGTGGACGCGCTTGTCAAAGGCCACAGCCGGCACAGCCGGCCAACTGCACTGCGAGTCGCCGTACGCGAAGGGCTGCGTCAGCGAAAGAGAAGGGCTCTGTGCCGAGTTTTGCTACCTGGCATGGAGGCAACACGGCCTCAGGTCCCTCCCCATTCCCTTCACTGCTACCCCAGGGCCAGCACCGCCTGCGGGCCCCTCCCCCGGGACCAGGCTCACCTGCGGGCTCCTTGCCTTCAACAATAACTAGAGGCTGCTCTGGTTTGGATGCTTTGGGTTTTCTCCCCCTTCGAGGCTTTTTCTTCTGCTCTTTGGCGGCACTGACACTTTTGGGAACTGCGGGAGGCTCCCCCGGGGGCACGTCTGCTTCCTTCTCCGCAGCTGAATCCTGCTGGCCGGCTGGGGGGACGCTTTTGGATTGTTCCAAATGGCCCAACAGGTGCTCTACGGGACAGGGAAGCGAAAGTATAAGGCAGGGCGTCCACTCCCAACCTCCATTTTGTTTGCTTTCAATTTTATTTGCTAATAGGGTGCCCTCTGCATAGGCGAATAAACGTTATTTCTTCTGCTTCGAAAATGACAGCATTTCCACTGCACCAGACACAACCACCATTTTAAAAAGTCAGTCAGGCGATAGAAGCAGGGCAGTTTTGTAAGATCACGTACAGTTTTGTAAAAACTAAAAGCGTGGGTACACGTGCATAAGCAAAGAGAAATTGTGGAAAAACACAGCAAAAAGGTAACGTGGGTCTCCCTACGGTGAGCTTACAGGCAATTTTTATATTCTTCTCAACGCTTATTTAAGCTTTCTAATTTTTCTACGATGAATATATAATACGATTATTTAAAAACGTAGCCTTTGAGGAGGAATAGTGATAAACATTCAATTCATAATGAACAAAACTGTCTTTCAAAACACTGCATGAAGGCCCAAAACCTTTATTTTCAACGGAAGAAACCTCAAAGGTCTCCCAAGGAAAGATAACTGGGCCACACACAGGAAACAGACAGAGATGGCCATGCTCCCTGAATGCAGGTGAGCTAGGCTCAGGCTGGCTGGAGGGCAGGGCACCAGCAAGAGGACGGAGGAGTGACCCACGAGACAGATGGGGACCAACGCCCTCAAGTGACCACTGGCGCCCGCCTGCACACTCGGCCAAGGAGCGATTCTTCCCGTCGACAACCTCGACTGGCTCACACAGGCCTTGGTGTGAAGTGGCTGCTGTCTCCCCATTTGTTCCACGCCCAGGGCCACTGTGCAGGGCGAGTGCCCTCGAGGGGCCAGGGAAGGAGAGGGGTGAGGGATGAGGGAAGGAAAGTTTTAAAGCAAACAACGTTACGTGCCGCGTGTCACGGGAAGGGTTTGCAAGTTTGGCCGCACAGCAGGACAAGCTGACGATGCGGCCGCCCGGCTGCAAATGCTCGGAGAGAGACTGAGCCCACATCAAACTAATGCTCTGCTGAGCTTCAGAGAAAGAAGACAAGATGCCTCGCTGCCAGACACGCAGAGAACTTCAAGCCAAAGCACAGATCCCGGGAGGAGGCCTGGGAGACACAGGCTGGGAGCTGAGCTGCTCCCGCAAAGCCAGGGAACTCCCGTGTGTTCTGCCACCATCCCAGAGGGATGGCGTGGAAGTGACAGAGCACATCAGGGTGAGCGCAGCGCGGGACTCGCTGGCGTCTGGCTGAGCAGGCACCTGCCCCTTACCATTCAGCAGCTGCAGCTCAAGGAAGGCGGCCGAACACACCTTGCACACCCACCGGCTGGGTTCTGCCTCCACTGGCGTGCTGCTCTCTGGGGTGCCTGCAGCTTCAAAAGACAAGAGGGGGAGGTGGTCCAGCAGCTGCTCTCTCTGTGCAGCCCAGCCCAGTGCAGGGCACACCTGCCCTCGTAGGAGGTGACCATGACAGCGGTAACAACTGCCACCGCTTGGGAGCAGGTCCAATGCTCCAGGCACCGTTCTCAGAGTTTTACCTAAACGGACTCGTTCGTGCCTGTGAATGTCCCCATTTCACAGATGAGGAAGCCAGGCACAGAGCACTGGAACCAGGGCCTGACGCAGGGCTGTCACCAGTCACGGAAACGTGGCCTCCTCCCAGAAGCCAGTCTGGTGGGACCAGACACCACCACCACCCCCCCACCGCATACAACTTCAAGAAAAGAAAAAATGCATGCTACGGCCCACATCGAATTCCCCAACCTCTCACTGGCTCATGTGACAAGAAAGGGTGGAACCCCAAACAGCCAGGCCATGTGCCCTGGTGTGGCCACAGCTCCTGCCCAGCGCTGGCCAGCAGAGCTTTCTGCAATGACAGAAATGTTCTGTAACTGCTGGCCAGGGGGGCAGCCACGTGCGCTGAGTGCTCCTGAGGAACTGGACTTTCACTTTTATTGAATTTAGGTTGAAACAGCCGCCTGGGGCAGGTGCTTACTGCAGAGGCAGTGCCCCTAGCCCTCCCGGCACCCCCGTGGGAGTCTGGGGGCGGGGGGAGATGACCAGGGTCTATGGAACACAGAGGGAGACCCTGGCTGCTCAGGGTCCTTTTCAGAAAAAACTACCGATGCTCTTGTGAGACCTCAGAGTTGGGGATGTAATGGAGAAGAAACTTGGTACTCTGTTACAAGTTAATCACTAAAGGGATGTTGCCTATAAGCTTAAATTATACCTAATGGCCCCTCACTGGGAACTGTGCCTCCCAGGTAAAGACAGTAAAACTAAAATACCTTTGTTTGGCTCACAGGAAACCTCCTGACCAGGCTCACCTGTGAATGGCTGCAGGAAGGAAGAAAGTAACACATCCCCTGACCGGAACCAGGAAATGCCTGATTTTATTCCCTCCCCTTTTAGTATAAAAGCAGCCTGAATTCTAACTCAGCTGGTTCTTTGGGACACGAGTCCACCATCTCCTCGGTCTGCTGGCTTTCCAAATAAAGTCGCTATTTCTTGCCCCAACTGGTCTCTCGATTTACTGGCTGCTTGTGTGGTGAGCAGTACAAGCTGACTTGGTAACGGGGACATTCTAAGTGAATGTACGTTCGTGATTTCCTGGCCCAGGAAACTGATTCGCTAAACCCCACGTGGCAGCCTGTCAGGGCTGGACGGGGGCCACCAGCCCTCACCGCCACCTCCACTCCCATCTCCGTGCAGCTTGTGTTGACACGCACGACCCACCGCAACCCTCCGGGGCCACTCACAAAGCAAAACCATCCAGAAGAGCGACTGCACATGCGTTCAGAACCAGGAAAAAGCACACCTCTGTCTGTGTCAAAAAACAGTGATAAGGGCTTCCCTGGTGGCGCAGTGGTTGAGAGTCCGCCTGCCGATGCAGGGGACACGGGTTCGTGCCCCGGTCCGGGAAGATCCCACGTGCCGCAGAGCGGCTGCGCCCGTGAGCCATGGCCGCTGAGCCTGCGCGTCCGGAGCCTGTGCTCCGCAACGGGAGAGGCCACAACAGTGAAAGGCCCGCGTACCGCGAAAAAAAAAAACCCCAAAATAGCGATAAGGTTGCAAAGGATGGAAGAAACAGATGGAGACCACTGCTGAAACTGTTTGCAGGCATCTTCTGAGTCTCCGTAAGATAACAAGAAGAGAGAAATGTAACTGCAGTATGAAATTTTTGGTTATACCAAAGGCAGAGCAGAAAGAGTGGAGAGCGTGCAGCCCAGAAGCAGGGCGCCTTTGTGGGGTGTGCCCTGCGGCCCAGCCTCCGCTCTCCTCTGTGCCCATCTCTGGGAATCCACAGAAGAGAATCAGGAGGAAATCAGGGCCAAATTCCTGCATCTCACTCACCTTCCCACACACACACGGTTCTAAAGAGGGCAAAGCACTCTTGCACAGGAGAGTTTCAGAGAAGGAGGCTGAGAAGGGGGTAGCTGGCAGTGGATACTCGGGAATAAAGGCAATTTCTTTTCATCTGAGTGAGCTGCTATCTCTCCACCACGAGGTCCCTGCCCAAGAATGGAATTCACATAGGCCTGACCTGTGACCTGATCTTCGGCAGGAAACCCATCTCTTCAGCCTGGTGTCCTGAACGCTAGGTCAACGGGACTAACTAGAAGAACCAGTCACGACTGCTGTCCTCCCACCGAGGGCCGCACTCTATTTTCCAAAAATTATCTTTAAAAGATAAGACTTGGGCTTCCCTGGTGGCGCAGTGGTCGGGAGTCCGCCTGCCGATGCAGGGGACGCGGGCTCGTCTCTGATTGCTGGAAGTCATAAAATTTAGAATGAGGAAATCCTTACTAAGCAAAGATGCTTTTTTAAAGGAGTATGTTGGGGTTGGTTAGAGAATGAGATTGTAGTGGTGATAAAATGATAAAAAGGAAAGTCAGTGGCCCAGCAAAGTGTGAAATACTCATAACTGGCCTTATTACTTCATTTTTGGCATTTGTCAAAAGGGGCAACCCTAAAGATAATGTGAAAAAAGAACTAGAAATATTTCAAGGACAGAGTAGAAAATGAAGCCCCTGGGCTCCTTTTGAAAGGTCTAAAATTTTAATTTGTTATGATGCGCTAACTCAATTTTCTTTTTGGCTTAATTGAGGTAGTACCTTTCCTCAAAATATCCATAAAATCCACTTTTTAAAATGTAAAATTCAGCCTCTACCAACTGAACCCTTTATAGTAAAAAAAAAAAAAAAAAAAAAGACTTAAGAGAAAATTAGGCAGCAACGAGAAGGCAATTCCTCATCCCAAGCACTCACACGCCCAACAAAAGAGAAGTGTCTACGCAAAACGAAACAGTAGCTGGCAGTGGAGAGACAGGGAGAAGGCCCACAGCAGGACGGTCAGCAAAACGTGTAACGAAGATCAATCACGTGGTACATCAGCATGTGCAGCAAGACCTCAACCACGCAGAAGTGCACGGCTTTTTAAACGACGGAAAAGAAATGGCAGAACTACAGGGACAGAGGGTAGATGCTGGCCGCCAGGGGATGGAGTACAGAGCTGTACAAGGGAACCGTCTGGGGTGCTGAGAACATTCTACATCTTGATTGTGGTGGAGCTCACACAACTGTAGACATTTGTCCAAACTCTGAACTGTCCACCTAAAATCGCTATTTTATTGTTTGTTAACTACACGCCCATAGTGCTAGTTTTTTTAAAACTATTAGAAAATGCTAATCAAAAATGCTAAGAGTCGTTAAGATGGTGATGTTATATGTGATTTAAAACTTCCCCAAATGTTATGAAATGTACTTATATTTCATTTTTTTCACTAGAAAGGTGATTTTGAAACTCTGATGCTGACAGCCGACTCTGAACCCCACGCATCCGCCCGCTGAGACCACTGGGCTTCTGGGCCTCCTCCTTCACCGGCGAATGGGCCCAGGTGTGTGTAAAGAAGAAAAGCCAGCCTTAATGTGAGCTCAAGGAGAACATGTGATTAGAAAAGTAAATCCACTACCAGAAAAAAAAAGACAGATTAATTTTTGAAAGGAGTGTGCCAGGTAGAAGGAAACCCACTTCCCTCTGTATTTAAAAGTCTACTCTGCCAGTCTACAAATCGGCCGATCTCTATGGCAAACATCTACGACAAAGATGTCTGAAGCAAATTCAAAAAAGAGAGAGAACTAATGAGCCTTAGCAGTTCCGATGCTCACCTAGAAAGTTTATAAATAGTGTAGAGGCAGACTGCTCCTTGCCCGTGGGCCCCCTCAGGACTCTTCTGGAACAAACTGGTGGTTCCTAAGGCCCCTTCACCTTGCTCTGACCCACCCCCATCGGGCTAAAGGTGCAGCGATGGCCACAAAGGCCCCGTGTGATCTCATGGTGCGTCCAGACCAGAGGCGGGATGGGGAACGGCCTCATCTCATGAGGGGCAGAGGTGAAGCCATCTCCCTACCTGTCAGATCTGGATAATCAGAATCATGCAGAAAACCAGCTTTCCACAGGTTTCCAGGCCTCTCTTCACAGGTCTCATCTGCTCCCGTTACTGAGAAGTGGGCACTCGGTAACCCAGTACTCTCAACGCACGGCTTCCGATGGGTGAGGTGTTCAAAACACACACCTGAGACCGCCCTGGGCCCTGGGCACCTGGATGGGTGGGGCTGGAGCAGGGTTCCAGAAGCCTCTCTGTGCCAGGAGGGGATGTCAGGGGAGGGGGGAGGGGCTTGGGGAAGAGGCTGGGCAGGAGGCCAGGGTGGTAGGAGACAACGTGGGGGTCCTAGGGCGGCTGCCACGTCCCTAGGTGCAGCAATGGTACTGGCGCCCGCAGCACTGCCTGGGCCAATCGGTCACTCAGCAGGGGGCTCTCCCAGGAAGGAAAGAAACAAGGAGCCCAACTAACCGACTAGTTAACAGTAGTCAGTAACTTTCATCACATTGCCAAGAAATATGTGCTTACCATTTGTCCCAAAACAGAAAGTGAAAAAAATCATAAAAGCTATTTCTAAAATTTTAGAGTACCTAAGTTGCTTATTTATTTCCCCAATTCAGAAGCGAGTTTAGCGTGACCACGCTGCTTGCCTGGTTATTAACAGTGCCCTACATTCTCAGAAGCCCAGAGGAGGGGCCACAGCTACCCTAGTGTCCTGCCTGAGAACGGTTAGAACGGAGTCAGGAGGCAGGTGTTGGACAACACGGTCCTGGGCTAATTTCATGAAGATCTATGCTCTCCAACGCAGCCCCAGATTAAAGAGCCCTCCGGAGGCAAAAAGCCAACAACAACTGGAACTCTGATAAGGGGAGGTGACCTCTGTGTTGACTTTGACCTTGAGAGCCATGAGGGGCATGCATGCCACCTCCAGGACACAACTGACAAGGTCAGACTCTACAAGCCAAACCCTGACGTGCAGTCTGGGCTGGTCCCGGGACATGCACGGGGTAAGGAATCCACGACACGAGAAAACCAGGTCAGGAAGATCCTGGTGACCCTGGACAGCACCCAGGGAGTTGGCCTCACCTCGGTGCTTGAAAAAGACTCCTGATCCCGTGGAGTGCCACTGCAGGTGCCTCCCAGGGGCAGGGGCAGGGCCAGGTACCCGGTTTTAGCAAATCCTAGGGGCTAGAGCAGTCTGGTGAAAAATCCAGGGTCTCTCCAAATTCTTTCTGCCCCCTTTACTATCAAAATAAAGAAAGGCCCATCAAGCCCAGTCTCCCTCTGCAAATATCCCTGTGAAGATGCAAACCCTCTCCTGCCACCAGACCCCGAGTGCAGCCATCTGTCACTCCCGGAGCACCCCCCAGAGGCTCCACGGGCCCCCATCACCCAGCCAGCCTGCAGTGACTGAAGAGGGGTCCTGGAAATTCATATCCGCCTGGAACCTTTGGGTAGGGTCTTTGCAGTGGTAACCAAGATGGGTCAGACTGGTTGAGGGTGGTCCTAAATCCAGTGACTGGTGTCCTCATAAGGAGAGAACCCAGAGACACAGGGAGAGACCTAGGCAGGCATGGGGTGCTGCAGCTACAATCCAGGATCGCCGAGGGCTGTCGGCAACACCAGAGCTTGGAAATCCAGACCTTGGACTCCAAACTTCCAGACTGTGAGACAACACATTTCTTTTGTTTTAGCCCCGGTTTGTGGTGCTTTGTCTGGGATGCCTCACGGGTACCTCCCTCCCTCTCTCACTCTGCCACGTGAGCCCACCGGAAGCAGCTCCCAAACCTCCGCCACGACGCACACGTGGGACAGACCAGAACCTCCCAAGCCTGTACGGAGCTGTCCGTACCCCATGGTGCTCATAATAAGAGGGATCATCTCCTTGTCAGAACCCTGTTGTCCGGGGGTCAGAAGGAAAGTCAATGTCAGCTTCTCCCCGCCACAGGAAGTAATCTTCGTGGCAGCGACAAGCATGTCTGCCCCGGGCAGGACCAAGTGGAGCCGTATGAAAGCCCTGCTCTCCCAGGTCGCAGTGCCACGTGTAAGCCACTTCACGTGGTCCCTCAAGGTCAGGTGGAGAGGATGAACACCCCAAAGGACCCACAGCGTGGGTAGAAAAGATTTAAATTCATCGGCCCCCTTCACGAGGTGATACCCCCGACCCCAGGTCAGCAGGACACGCATTCTGATTTGCTTTTCCAAAAGGATGTCGGTGAGTCACACGTGACTCCACTAGGTCTTTCTTTGACAACACATGCTACACAGGCACACACATGCGTATACACAGGCGCATGCACACGCACACCCCGACCTCCAGGAAGAGGCTGCTGGAAGGTGGCTAGCACCAACACTGGAGCCAGAATCCGGGTTCAAACGCTGATTCCGTCACTCTTTGCACTGTGATTCAGGGAAGTTTCCTTAACCTCTCTGTGCTCCGTTCCCTCCGCCCAAGCCCTGGGGCCACAACCTGACCCCCAGGGACCAGGTAGGTGAGTGACGCGTGTGAAGCCGCAGAGTTGGGGACAGAGCTGCCTGCCAGCAAGCGCCTGGCTTGGGGCAAGCTCTTCTAACGGTTTCTCGGCCCAGATATTCAACCAGCAGACCCACAGACCCACCACGTGGTGTCAGGACCGAGCCCACGGTGCTCCCCAGGCCCGCGGGCCTCCCCGGCCCGACTCTTCTCACTAACACCGGGCTGCTGCGTGCGGCCAAGGGGCCGTGGGTCCCGGCGGGGCGGCAGGACGGCACGTACCGTGGAGGCCCGGGCAGGCCTGCCTCAGCATGGGCTTGTCCATCCTCTTGGCGTAGAAGGCCGCATACCACACGCGCAGCTCGGTGCCCGGGGGGATGTCGCGCGAGGTGGTAAAGTACACGTCGCTGCCGTGCTGGAAGGCCGTCAGGTTCTGGTGCCCGGGCTCCGCTGCCGGCCGCACCAGCATCATCCAGTTGCAGTCATCCTCGTTGGAGGTGTCGAAGCACACGGGGTGCCCGTCCTTCTGGAACACCTGGGGGTGAGCGCGGCCCGCCCAGGGGCCGGGGCGGGGGCTGGTTATCCACCAGTGTGCGTGTCAGCGTGTGTGTGTGTGTGTGAGAGAAGGGGGGGCTGCTGAGTGACCAGTCTGGACGGCACCACATCAGAGGCCAAACCGTGCTCCATACAGACCTATTTAGGCATTTACAGTGGTGGGAGGGCAGAGGGAGAGCCCTGAACAGGTCAGGCTGATCACAAGCAGAAGGGAAGCAGGAGACACAGCAAAAGGTCAGGTGTCACCGGGAGACCCTAGCTCTCCGCATGGCTCAGGTGGGAACTGGGACGCCTAATTTCCACCTGTGGTCCAGGTGGGCACCCGGACGCGTGCATCCTGCTGCATGGGGAAACCTGAGTTCTGCTCCTAGGCCAGGAGTTATCAGGAGACCTGAGTTCTATGCGTGGCCCGGCTGGGAACTAGGACATCTGAGGTCTACTTGTGGTCCAGGTGTAGAACCTGGACACTCAAGTTCTAATCAGCTTTCAAGTGGGCATGAAGGCGCTTCTTGAGTTCTACTCCTGGCCCAGGTGTCATCGGGACACCTCAATTCTAGGCATGGCCCAGGTGGGAATCAGGACACCTGAGCTCTACTCCAGTTCCAGACGTCATCGGGACACCTGAACTCTACACCTGGCCCAGGTGGCATTGGGACACCTGAGTTCTACTCCCGGCTCTGCTGCAAGTATGGTCAGTGACTTTAGCAAAGTTCCTCAATCTTTATAAGCTGCACCCTCATCTGCAAAGCAGCACCACTGTTTTATGGATTAAATGCAGGCAGGGACCAGGGGGAGAAGCTTGGATATTTTGAAGCTCAAAGTGACCACATGGAATAGGGGGCTCCTGTCCACCATTTTCTGATGCAATCATTGCTTCCTCGTTGTAGGAAGAAATCTCCCCCCTCTCCTGGGCTTTTCCTGTAGGGGCTCCCCACTGCTAAGAGCTAGAGGCCCCCTTTGAGGATGGAGCCCTCGGAAGCAAGGGGAGGGGGCAGAGGGGTCCACCAGGTGCCTAACGACCCTGAGCCAGGGTGGGAACTGCTCCCTTGCCCTCCCTCCATGGGCATAAAGCTGGCCCCAGCACCCAGGTAACCAACGCTGAGCCTGTGCTGGAAACAACTCAACACGAGACACAGACCTTCAGAATCTGAGTCGCTGAAAGAAACCAAAACAGGCACAAAGGACTTTTTCAAAGGGGCCTCGGCCAACCTCGGGCCCATAGCGATTACGTGCATCAGCCCCAGGCCTCTTTACCTCACGCCTTCACATAAAATAACGTTTCTTTCTTTTCTTTCTTTGTGAACAAGTCAAGTGCCTTTCCTTCCGCTCTGCTGTGCTGAAATCTGCCTTGTAAACTCAGTTCTCCAAGGACTGGCGAAACTCCGCAGTCACCTAGATCACCTCTGTCCTGAAACACGTGGGTCTCTGCTAAGGGTCTCCAGGAGAGCTCACCTCTCGGGGTAACCACTGCCCGACCAGCACCTGTTCCTCTCTGTTTATGTCACAGGTGTTTTTGAAGGCTGGCTGAGGCTGGGCGCGTACTGGGTGCGGGGACAGAGCTGTGACTGACACCCACGTCCCTCGCCTCACGGTGACTCCGTGGGTCTCACTTTAAGTGATCCAAGCCCCTCCCACCGATTCCCTTCCATTTTGTTTTCCTCAGCGTCATATAAAAGCTGTCATTTTCCAGCCTGATGTGCTTTTCAGAGCTGCCAAATTTTGCACTGGCCTCTCCTCAAGGCCTCGACAAGACACCTTCCTTTCGAAAGAGCCTTGCAAAGTATCCTACGCTCTGCACCGGTGTGAAAATACTAAAGCACCTCTGCAAAAATACTAACGCACTCCTGCAAAAATCCACAGAAAGCGCCCCCCTCCTAAAGCCTGCGCTGGGGGGTCTACTCTTGCAGATGTTTTAAATAGACTCTCTTTAATGTCTTGCAAAATACTAACTTAACTCTGATTCTCTTGTGATAGAAAAACTAAAAAAAAATCTGAACATTGTCTCGGAAATTCAGCAGAACTATAATACCTAGAGCTGTTTCCAAGACATTTGTGAATCACTGGAGATCAGCGGGCATCGCCCCATCTGCACGAGGAAGGTCACAAAGCAGGGGTTCTGCCTCCCCCACTGGCCCCAGCTTTTACCTTCAAAGGAAACGCAGACTCCTTCTCCCATTTGGCGACTCTCCTCGACTCAAATGGGCCAAACTGCGTGCGCTTGACGAGCTGGGTCACAGCAAACACCCCCTCAGCTCCATCTTCCAGGCGTCTGATCTCCAGGTTGGAGGGAAGGGACGACCTAGAAATAGAACAAAGCAAGAGACTCTCGGCCCCGGGCATCCACTGACCGAGGTGCCACCCACACCAGGGGACAAGAGGGTTAGGATGACGGAAAAGGTCGCTCTCACTGTCCCCCCCAGAGTAGGCGATAGATGGGCGTTGACTCGAGGATGCGTTTAAAATCCCCGCCCAGGAGACAGAGCCGATGCGTGTGTATGCGCGCGCGCGCACACACACACACACACACACACACACACAAACACACACATCCTAAGTGTGGGCTTCAATCGGCCAACAGAGAGAGGAGGACCACAGAGAGACCACAAAGAGGTGCCACGTGTAACGTACCACGGGGAAGACAAGAAGTGCCACCACATTCCGAAGACCAGAAAAGCATTTCCAGCCAGGCTGCACTGGGCTGGTTTCATCGAGGATGTGGCCTTTCTAAGTAAACTCAGAGAATATCAAGGATGGGGCACGCGTGCCAGCGGGAAGGCATGTGGGCTGGGACCCTGCGTGAGCCAAGGCCAGGGTCAGCCTGGCCCACGTCGGGAGTGGGGCAGACCCCCAGGGCGCCTGGAGCACACACCCCTCACAGGAGCGAGCAGGGGGGCTGAGATGAGGAACCTATCATAGAGGGACTGATGGCTCCCACGGGAACTTTGTGGGCAACAGGCAACCACTGAAGGTTTTGGAAGAGAGCTCATCAGGTCTGTACTTTAGGCGAAATTAGTTATCTCTGCTTTGTGCAGGGAAGTAACAGGAAGACAAGGAAATAAAGAGGCTGGGAAAACCAGTTGGGCGGCTTCTAGGAACAGCATTGATTAGATGACAATTTTAGTGCCACTACGTGCCAGGCCCTAAATCAGGTGTAACGATCACGGCAACTTTCCAAGGGGCAGTTATTCTCTCCACTTTACAGATGAGGCAACTAAGGTGCAGACAGGAGCACGTCTCGTCCGGGTTCAAACAGCTACTACATGGTAGGTGGGGCTGTGCCCCTCCCCCCCCCCCCCCCGGGCAAGAGAGACAGAAAAGCCTCTCAGGCTGGTGAGTGCTGGTCGGCACCAATCCTCTGTGCGGGAATCTCTCCGCTTTGCCCTCCGCACCCCTGTTGCTGC